ATTTTACTGGGACGTTCAAAAATCCTAGTAAAAACAAATTGTTCTACTAACCTTAGGTTCTTGGAGCTGAAAAACACTAAGTATTTTTGACAAATAATAAAATTTCCAAATGTTAGCTGATAAATGGCATTTCTCATCTGATTTACTTTAATCTAGGAATAAGCAGATAATGTTTGTGTGAGTGTGGTTAAAATGAGCAAATTCAAATAACTGATGTGACTGTTGCAGCAATTTTTTTTTTCCAATAGTGACTTGTCAAGTTGTTTCATAATGGCATTTTTCAAGACATTGTGTGACAACAGCTAAAGTCTACTCCCCATCCCCAAAATAATAATAATTTAAAAAACAAAACACTAAAAACTTGGTCTCAGCCATGTTTTTGTTTTTCTTATTCTGAAATGATTATAAAGTGGAAGCTTTGGTCATGGGTGAACTCAGTCTTACTGTCAAAATATGTGCATTCCCGTCCACATTGAGCCTGCATTGTCGAAAATAAATCAAATTACAAAAAATAAATAATAATAACAATAAGAGAGCATTTTTGCTTCAAAAGCCAATCCCTAAATACTTGGAAATGTATTGCTGAAAATCCAGGCAATAAAGTGTTAACTTTGAGACCAGTCAAGATCATGGCGGGGCTTCATTTACGTGTTTTCGTGTTCTCTGGGGTCAGACAGGGCAACACATGACTTTTTCTCCAACAAGAGCCACGCTGTACTATCAATAAGCAACCGTTACAAATTCACATCAATTACAGACAAAATGTTACCATTGTCTCTGACACACCTAGATATTTTATTTTATATTTACCTGGATTATTAAGCATGAACTTTGATGTTTTGAACCACTTTGGCTGTGGCTGCCTCAGAGGAGTTGACGGGCTCCAGAAACCATCTTATCACTACCAAACTGGTTGGCCCAATATGTGAGTAAGCCACATATGGGACTGAGTTTGTTGTGGCTCCTCGGACTGAGGAACGGTGTTTTCACACTTGATAGTCAGGTAGACTCTGTTCGATTGGGGACCAATACTCAGCTGGTATGGTTAGGCCTGTCACGATAACAAATTTTGCTGGGCGATTAACTGTCTCAAAAGATTATTGCGATAAACAAATAATAGTGTTTGAAATTTAACAATAATTGTCAAATTTTAGAAGAAATGTTGATTTGCTTGGTGTGTAGTATATTTTATGACCATCTGATGGCAGTATAAGATGTTTGAACCAAAGGATGGATACAAACAAAGTCCATGCTCAATAATCATTCATCGTACGATTAATTGATTTATTGTTTATCGTGACAGGACTAGGTGCGGTTTGCATTCACACTGCACTGAGTCAGTCGAGCCAACTTGTTCCCCGTCTCGCCTGTGGTGGCGCTGCACCAAGAACTACTGAAGGAAACGACACAGAAACTTCAGAAGACACTTCTTCTTCTTCTGAAAATAAAAACGGAGTGGTGTCAAATTTTAGCGGTTTTAGGATTTTTGTTTTGTAATTTTTCAACAATGGACTCAGCATGAGTGGAAGATGAGGCAGAAGACCATGGAGAATGATTTTCACACAAGGCGGCTGACGGCTCCGTATGAGGGAAGAGAAATGTGCATTTGTTTGCCCTGTGCTGTAGTCCACTTCCTGCTTTTGGAGTAGTCTCCGCTTCGCTTGCATTCACACTGCATTCGAACCGCGCTAGAGTTCACTTCAACCGAACCAAAATCTAGGTTTTTAGGTGGACCAGAGTTCGCTTTTTGGGTCCGTATCAGAGTTCGATTGCACATTCACACCTCCCCAAACGAACCGGACTTTCTAGGCAAACGGACTAGAGTTCGATTAAAGCGGACTAAACAGGGCTGGTGTGAATGCACCCTAAGTCTTTTGGATGAAAGACGAAACATTTCAACACAAAGAAACAATCCAGAGGACTCGACTTTGATCCCTGACATAGTTACCCTGACTCAGGTAAAAGAATAAAGTGAATACTAGCCACACTCAGAATACAAAGCTGACATCGTTAACTTATAGCGTAACAAGTGAGAAGGTATTAAAAATATAAAAACTGTAACATAGGTTTGTGATAGTTGCTGCTGCTGACCTTAAACTGTGAGGCTGCTCAACATTTACAGAAACTTTCAAGAGATGCATAAACGCCATGCATTTGCTAAAATACATAAACCGTGACTTTTATTTCGTATTGCGGTCTCTGGCATGTGCATAAATAATTTTAATGACTGATTCATTCCTTCAGCATAAGACAGACCACAGTCATTAGCAGTGGTGTAGCCTATTTTTGCACATGCTTGGCACTTGTGTGTAAAGCCTTTCATAAATGTTAAAAAAAAATAAAATTAAAATGTGTAGATATCCATACCTTGTTTAAAGGGTCTTATGAACATAAATGTTAAATGCACATTTATGTGTGTTTTGTAAATTGATTACACGAGTCGGGGGGAAAAAACAAGGGATTCTGAGTATTTGCCTGACAAAGAAAATACCGCTAAAGTTTATTTTGTTGTGAAAACTGGAACAAGGAGCCAGAGTGCAAACAACTGCTCTAAGAAGAGAACATGAGCAGACATTTATTGATGTACTTCTCCAACTGTGCTTCAAATACTTTCCTCTAACAAGCAAGAATATTAAGACACAATTATAATTTTTGGGATTCTTGTTGCGACATAAAACAACTGGCTGTGGGAGAAATAAGAGTATAATCATTCCTCAATGCTCCGCAGAGCACACAGACTTGATTAGGACTAAAATTCTGCCCAACATTTGACCAGACCAGAAACTAAACTGACAACAGCTGGGGTAAAGTTAAAAGTTTGAGGAACAAATAAAAAATGAGAAATTTAATGACTAAAAACCAAAAAAAAAAAAAAAAGACCGGATTTAGAAATAAACGAAAACAATAAGCTTGAGAAAGGCTGGAAGGAAGAGGAAAAGACAGAAACAAAAAAAACAAAGCATATGGATGTAATTGAAGGCCGATGAATGCTGATGTCATCTTCCAGTCAGGTTATCAGGCCCAAGGCAAATCAGCCAAAACTTGGAAAACATGTCCTTTTCTTAACACATGGGAGCACCGCACAAACACTCAACATAATCAACTTTGCATGTGTTGAAAAGAGCTATAGTTTATAAGACAAGCCAAGTAGGAGGCACTTCTGGACTAAGGGTAAAACGTCTTCTTAATCCAATCTGCAAACAGACGGCGTTATCCTCTCAACTTTTTGAAGATTTTCTTTGCGTGCAAACACACAAGCCTGTTCTGTCCTTCCCATTAGCTTCTTTGGCATGGTTGCACAATGACCTCATCTTCAATGGGCTGAAGTCCAGAGAAAACACACACACACACACACACACACACACACACACAAGAGCCTGTAGAGTCCCATATAAGGACTTGCTGATGATGTAAGGGGCGCCGCTGACTGCGAGCGAGAGTCGGCTTGCAGAGCACTTCTCATAATGTTTGGTTTTCCGGAGGGAATGTCCACATCACTGGGATCTCAGGGAAAGTGGGAAACGTGAAATAACAGGAGCAATAAATTCCAAGGATTTTCAAAAAAACGGGTCAAGTCCAACCGCACTGCACAGGTAGGAAACTAAATTTCTGTTTAACAGCGAAGAACTGAAAACATTTGTTGCGAACTAAAGATCTACTTTGTTTGAAAGAAACGCTGGAACAGATTAACGAGTAAATTTTTCTAACTTTACAAACAGACTCTGACATCAAATGCTCGGAGTTCTTCTAATTGATATCATAACTTTGTGTTCAAACACAGTCAATTCTGTCTTTTAACTATAGGTCACTAGACTTTAATAATGTTACACTTTACATTACAGACTTAGTTTTCTAAGAAGTTACATTTGTGCTTTTTGCAGTTCTTCGGTTTAACGGGGAATTTATATTCACAAACAAGATTAAATTCACAGTAATTAGGTTAAAATATAAAGTCTGCTAAACCAAAGTTTAGGAATTAAGACTTTAGACTACTCATTATCCCTGAACTTTCTTTATGGTTTAAAACTGAGTTAATTTAAGCAGCTCCTTAACATTACAACTGCACATAACACAAAGTTTTGTAGCAGAAGTTAAGTTTTTCTTAAAGTATTTAGTTTAATTTTACCAGTTTAAAGTAAAATGCATAGTCTTATATTAAAAAAAAACCTTTCAGAATATGTAAAGATAAACATTAGCACTAGTAGGGTTTAAATATACAATATTAGAAGCAAATAGTACAAACTGACACATTCTACAGCATAAAGCCAGGAGTGTCGTATGGCACTAAACTGTTCAGTGCACATTTAATAGACTTGTACATTTCTAGTAGGAATCTAGGGAAATGTTGAAGAGTGACAACACTTGCTAAAAGTAGCCAGTTTGTAATTACTTTAAGAACAGTGGGGGATTCCTGTCGCTCTGAGCTGGATGTTTGGTTGCATTCGAGGTGCACAGAGGGAGGGTGACTAGTTGCAGAGTTGAAGGTACTCAAGGGTAGAAGAACTTCTTAATTAACTAACAATCCCTGCCAGGGGACCATCTGCCAAGTATCCTACAAACTGCAAGCTGCCTAGAGATAAATCCCCCAACAGCACAGAAACATACAGATCTTTCTACACGTACAACATGTTACTGATAAAAACAACAGATAAAGAAAACCAATTCCAAACTGTTGCAGACTTTTAGCAAACATGCACTGTGACTAAAGTTAATCTGAAAACAACATGTTTATGCTGAAACTTGGAACAACTTGTCAGTTCATCTATTTTTAAGAGGTTTAAATGTGAAACCCCTTCAATAATGACATAAGAGGTCAATATGAAACTTGAACAGGTTAGTCTGACATATGTCTATGTTTTGTCCCTTCACAGTGTGAGGCTCTTGTTAATAAAGGAGAGAGAACACCAGGAACTAAAGAGCAAGAAAAACGAAAGAGAAATATCAGTTTTGAAAGACGAGAGAAGAGCTGAAGAATTTGCTCAGCTTTTTATAAAGGATGAACAATATTTGAGCGAGTTGGTGGAAGATAAGCAGCATAACGTTGCTATCACTGCTCATATTGAGCAGGGGGGGCTGTGCTGCTAAACTCAGTGCAAAAGTGAAGGAGACACCTAAATTCCTTAATGTTGGGGTGAAGCAGTTTAATCAAGTTTCCAACTTCTGCCAAAACCAGAACGGCATGATGGCTCTCAGCTCGTTGACAGAGGCGGAGGTGCTGAGGAGAAGGGTGGTGGAAATGGAAGGAAAGGATGAAGAGCTGATACGAATGGCAGATCAATGCCGAGACCTGGACCGTAGACTGGCAAAGGAGACAAGTCACAACCGCAGCCTAAAGTTTGAAGTGGACAAGCTCAATGGCAGAATCTGTGAACTGGACCGCTTAGAGGAGGCTTTTGGCAAAAGCAAACAGGACTGTACTATTCTCAAGAGCAAGCTGGAGCGGGAGAGGGAGTTCAGCAGTATGATGTCAGGTGAGCTTGATACTTCAAGACTCAGGGTGAGAGAGCTAGAGACTGTTGCGATCCAACTGGAGAAAAGTGAAATGGCTGTTCGACAGGATCTGGGAAAGCTCCGGTCGCTGACTGTAGCCTTGGTGGAGGACAGAAAGAATATGGCTGAGAGACTCCAGGAGGCAGAGGAAAAGATTAATAGGAAGGAGAGCAAACGAAACGAGCAAAGTAATTTGGCAACAATGACAGAGCGGCTGAGAGAGGAGAAGCAGCTGGCACTGAGGTCTAAGGCAGATTTAGAAGAGAAGATTAAGGTTATAATGAAGGAAAAAGGCGAGCTTCAAGATAGACTAAAAACAGAGGAGGAAAAGAATAGAGAGCTACAGAGTAAAATAACTATCATGAAGAAAAAGTTAAACATCTTTGATAACAGGAAAGAAAAAGAGGAGACGTATACAAACAGCTCCATTCCAAACAACACAACTTATCATTGTCAAACTGATGACAACAAAGTTAAAGAGCTGACCAAGGAGCTAGATGAACTGCAAAAGAGACTCCAGGACAAAGAGGTGTTGGAAGCAGAGCTAATGGAAGTGAAGGAGGATTTTGAGTCTCTGGAAAAGAGGCTGAAAGATGAACAAAGGAGATCCCAAGTTCTAACGGAGGAGCTAGAGGAGGCAAAGAAGGAGCTTTCCAGGTACAAACAGGGAGAGAAACAGGAGGTCAACCAGGAGCACCGTCTTCTATGCCATCTTCAAAAAGAGCAAGTTAAATCTAGACTTTTAACCAAAGAAGTGGACAGCCTGAAGGAGAAACTCCAGAAGCTGATCGGGACAGAGGAGTCAATCTCCAAGGTGCAAATGGATCAGTCAACACTGCAGAGAAAACTGACCCAGCAGGAAGCCAAAAACAAAGAATTGGCCAAGGTGATGGAGAAACTGACAAGTGAGCTAGACATGTACAGGCAAATCCAGAACAATAAAAACTTTTCACACCACCATCAGACCACTAAAGAAGTACAAACTGAACCTGCAGAGAGCACGCTGTCCAACTCCAAGTGCAGTGAAAAGTTAAATAGAGAAAATACAAACAAGGACCCAAACCCCAAGACAGAAGTCCCAAATGAAGGAAACCCTCCTGTCAACAGCCTAAACACTGAAATTAGTGACATGTGCCAGCATGAGAACCACTCCGAAGCAGATATGCACCAAAACGTTAATGGAGAAGTGATGATGGTAACACACACACCTGGGCACCCCTTGCAGATTAAAGTAACGCCACATCATATGCTCAACACCGCAACGCTTGAGATTACCAGCCCTTCTAGAGATCAAGCAACGTCTTACACCAGCACAGTTGCCATACCAACAAGCGGGGCTTCACCTAAGCAGAGAATAACCATCCTCCAGAACTCAGGTTCACCTGCAGTCAATCCCAAAACCCACTCTTCAAATCCTGAACGTGCCATCTCCCCACTGAACGAAATGCCAATGTCTCGGGCGTTAAGTCCAAAACCATCGCGCTCTAACACGCTTGAAAACAACTCACCAATTCAGATTGTCACAGTCAAAACCTGTTCTCCTGAGCCAGCAGAGGTAACAAACCAGGCTCTGTTCTGCAAGACTCCTGATCCAACCAACAGCTGGCAACATCAGAAGTCCAACAGCGATGACACAAGTTCAAGCATCATCACAGCAGAAGATAGTAAGATCCATATTCACCTGGGAAGTCCATATACCCATCCTCTGAATGGTATGACCCACAGCATCCCACAGACCGCTGGGCCATACTACCTCCGACATGAACAAAGGACTCACGTAATTGCCAATGGCTGTCATGTTAAAGGCGTTGGAAAGATTACAAGTAGTATCACCATATCGCCTGCCAGTGCTTCTGCATCGCACTCAAACATTACTGTTAGTGGCCTTTGTGATTAATCCCCCCAAAAACCAAAAAGACCATTTAGAAAGTCACGGCTAAAGCAATGCACCTCCTCTAAAGTACTCTGAAGTTTAATGTAATAACCATAAAATAATGCTGTATTCTTTTCCTTTATAAAAACCTAAAGGCATCTCAAGTGTAACACGCTATGAGATCTCAGTGCATCTGAAATGTTTCTAATGTGTTTGTTGTAATTTGGTGTTTTATTTCAGCTGTTGTTTTTATTTACTGTCCATTAAACACACATTCTTCCTGATGCGTTCATTTTCATGACTTTTTAAAATGTTGGTAATAGGATGTTCCATCACAAAACACAAACTGCTTAGATGAAAAAAATTTTTTAAATACATTTATAAAATGGGAAAAACAGAAAGAAAATTTACTGGGTTTACTGATGTGTCAAAAAAAAAGTTAATAAACATATTTAAGTACACATTAAATGGCAATTACTTTAGTCTGACTTGATAGAAACTATTTATTTGATTTTTTTAAATTAAATTAAATTTGCTTTAAATATTATGACCAAAAATAATTCAGTGCGCATCTATTAATTTAAAGGTAATAAAAGACACCTTTAAAAAATACTTTTCGCTGCAGTAACAATGCAATGTATGCCTGACTTGTTTGAAATGTCATCATCAAAAGATAAAAATGCAATTAAATAAAATAATAAAATTGTCGGAGGGTCACTTACAAAAATACAGTCACACTGTATTTGTTGTCTTTAACATTTAATAGTTATTTAACGTCCAAGATTACATTGTTGTAAATGCAAAAAACTATATGAGTATCGTGTATGAGTTTCTGTCATGGAAGATAGTACACAAACAGAAATAACTAAATATTATGTTTTAGAGTTTACTATAAAATTAAAAATAACCTAACATGGCTCAAATCTATAATATTTAAAGACGAGAGACATTATGGAAAGAAGTGGCAAATATCCTGAGTCACAGTGCAGATGCTGAATAGTTAGAAATACAGTAATTAGATCTAATTACTAAATAATAAATTGTATCTTTTAAAATTAGAAACAGACATCGGGAAGGGATACTTGAACATATGCTAAGAAAATGGTGACATGGGCACGACACATTAAGACAAATGTAGGGAAACATTTACTACCCTGATGTCAACAGTTAGCAAAGTAATATGAGGCAACTGTTGACAGCTTCGGGCAGCAAAATGAAGCTTGACAAAGGTTATCATGAGAATCTTTATTAGTAAATACAAAACACCACCATATTTATTTCTGGCTCTTGCAAATCGTCACTTCATCCATTAAACTTTAAAGTCATTTTACATCCTTAGCTACCCTTTTCACTTTTGTTAATTTTCTGTCAGACTCAGAGCCTCTCCTTTCAAAGACCTCTGTGTTAAAAATGGAGTAACATTAGAACAATAGAGTGATGGGGTTGACTCAGAAAAAAACAACAGCTGCAAAAATCTCTGGATCTAAAATGCGTATGGGTCTACATATTGTAGGAAATTGCATATGGCTTTGAGTACGTGACACGTCTTTGCTTCTTCATTCAAGACGGACCAATGCTGTACATAAACAATAAATATGTATACAATCACGAATGAATACTGAACTTATGAGTCGTGACTCGTGATATACGCCGTGACAAACCAAAACTATGGAAAAAGTCATAGCGCTCATTGAAAAACAACACGTATAACAAATAAATCAATGCCTTGCAATTGCCAGACATTTGAAGACTGAATTGTGGTTTTTACTATTTTCCTTATTCAAATGCATCTTGTGCCAAGGTAACAAAAAATCTCACCCCTCTCTCTTGAAAAAGGCTAATAGATAACAGAAATACAGCTCTCCAACTTAAAAATATATAAAATCCAGCAACTGACCATGCTATATGCATGTCATGTCCTGTCATGTCATGCACGTCTTTCGACTATGCTTGTGCATAAATCAGGTAAAAAAAAAAATGATGCAGAAACAGCTGCAACAACCTTTAGTTTCAGCTAGAGTTCCTCTAAAGCACATGTGTCAAACTCAAGGCCCGGGGGCCAAATGTGGCCCTCGTTGACATCTTATCTAGCCCCCAAGATGATATGTGAAACGTAAAATACTTCAATATCTTTTGAATTTTTTGCAGTAATCTTTGATTATGATGTCAAAAGCACAACAGAGAACATCAAATGAGACCAATCAAACTGTTGTTGAGGAAGCTGTGGCCAAGAAAATATGCTGGGTATCTGATTTGAGCTAATGTAGTTTCTGAAATTGGCCCTTAGTTTGAAAAAGGTTTTAATTTTGGCCCCTCTTTGTAAGTGAGATTGACACCCCTGCAAAGGTTGTTGAATGTGTGTTTATTTAATATCACTGATAAATTGTATTCAATGAAACATCTCTCTCTCTCTTATATTATTATATATATATATATATATATATATATATATATATATATAT